TAACGGAAATGGCAACGGAAACGGCAATTACAAACGTGATGGTTCCTTTAATGGAAATGGTAACGGAAATGGTAATGCTGGCAGCTTTAACGGCAATGGTAATGGAAATTGGAATGATGGTTCCTTCAATGGAAATGGCAACGGAAATTTCAACTGGGGTTGGTATAACGGAAATGGCAACGGAAACGGAAATTACAAACGTGATGGTTCCTTTAATGGAAATAGTAACGGAAATGGTAATGTTGGCAGCTTTAACGGCAATGGTAATGGAAACTGGAACGATGGTTCATTCAATGGAAATGGCAACGGAAATTTCAATTGGGGTTGGTATAACGGAAACGGAAACGGAAACGCCAACTATTAAATTGTACTTATCTTGTTTATAAAAATCCCATTTAATAATTTTCTTTGCCATATTGTAAAATAATAATAGAAGCATTTTTTTTTGCTTAGAATTATAATAATAAAGATTCATTTATATTTATTATAGCTAATTTCAAGAGTGAAAATACGATAATACATATAAGGAAAATAATTTTTTGTAAACTGATTGCAAAGAAAGTGATACTAGGTGCTTTTGCACGGCGACTTCTTCCGAGATTTGTGGATTTAGAATTTTTCGGCCAACACTAATCTTATTTTCAATATTAGCCCTTGTCTTACGCTATATTCTTATCATAGTTTGGGCCGATTCAAAATCCATAGATCTCATATAAAATACATTCTTCACGAAATTAGGTTTGCATGTAAAGTTTGTACTCTCTCGTGGCCAATAACATGTATATTTATTGTGATACACAACAAAATAATTTCTCAAAAATATTAGGATAACAAAATATAAAGTATGAATTACTCCGGAACTACTAGAACTATTTTCCGTTACATTCCGACCAAAGCGCATATACACACCCCTACAATATATTACCGGAAATTTCAAAAATGAAACTATCATTTTGGAACCCAATTTTTTGTAATCTAGTGATCTCATTTAAATAAAGACATTATCATAAGATTCGTGGAGTCGCGACAAATTTAATGGAGTATTTTCATTTAAATCGGATCATTGAATTTTGAGATATTGGATTTCAAAGTGACAGATTTGTTTTTGGGATTTCCGGTAATATATTGTAGGATGTGTACAATTTCTTGTTTAGTAACATAGCGCTTAATCTCGATGTCTCTATATAAAGTGTCGATCTCCGCATGCTTGGATACTTTTGTAGTACATATACATACAGTATATATCAAATTTATGATTATTATTTTTCTAAGTGATTCTGTCTTGTTATTAGTAAATTTTAATCTTCATTATTAAGAACTTTTACCATCTAATATTCTTAATTTGTAGATACTTTATCAAAAACTTGATGAATATAATATGAACCTTTTCATTTTTGCATAAATTTTTCATGATGTTATTGTTAGATTTCCATTCTCTTTATTAAGACTGAGAATTTTTATCTTGCTGATAAGTTTCTTTTTGCTTTTGTTAAAATTTTTTACATTTTTTTGAGAATTGATTTATTTAATTCTAATTTATCTATAATAATACAAGTTTTTTTAATTATTTTATTAGAAGTGATCTGATTTTTTTTAATAGTTATAATTTTAAATTTAATAATATTATAACTTGTCTATTATAGATAAGATAAAATAATATAAACTTGATTAAACTTTATTATATTGTTTTATAAGCAAAAAATACTGAAAAAATATTTTTTTTCACAAAGTTAAACAAGTTTTTTAATGATATTACATAATATTTATATAATAATTTTGATTAGGTTATATTTATTTTAGTATTTGATCTTTATTTTGCACTATTTGTATTATATTTTATCTTTTGTATTATTTTTTATAAAGATTATTTTTACTTTGAATATATAGATAATTATTATATATTTAATTAATTTAGATTTACATACATTATTATACAGATAATTATTATATATTTCCTAATTATTAATTTAAATAATTAATATTTTTAATTAGTTTTATTACTTATTTATTTCTTATATTTTATTCATGTTTAATTATTATTATTTATATTATTTTTAATTATTATTAATTTATTAAATTATAATTTATTAAATTATAATTTATTATTCTCTAAAGATATAAATCAAATTAATTAATTATATTTAATATATATATATATATTTTTTATATTATTAATTTATATATATTTTTTATATTATTAATTTATTCATATTTTATATTTATTTCTTTTTTTATAAATATATTACTTTTATTTTATAATTTTATCTTAGATCTAAATATTATTTAAATAATAAAATTATAAATATTTATAAATTGAAACTATTCACTTTATATTTTATCTTATTTATAATTATAAATAAATAATTATAATCTTTTTATTATATAACATAAATTATTAAGAAGTTTATACAGAAACTTAAGATAGTTACAAAATAATTAATTAGAATTTATATAAAAAACTAAGTTAAAAATAAATAAAATATTATTATTGAAACTTAAAACTTTATTATAATTATAAATTATTAAAAATATAAAATAGAAAAAAGTATTTTTAAATAAATAATTAGAATTATATAAATTAATATAATTTATAATACATAAATATTTATATAATAATATTTCCAGAAGATACTTATTAATATATAAATATAATAATAAAATATTATGAATAATATATAAAGAAAAATAATATAAATATATCTTCTAAAATTAAAATAATTTCAGTAAATATATAATTTATTTTGATATTATTAAATAATTATAATATAGTAAATTATAGTATTATAATATAATATAATTTATAAATTAAATCTAATTAAATTTATTATATATCTTTTTTTTAAAAATTAATATTCTTATTAATATTTAGATTCAAAAAATTTAATTATTTTACTAAATATTAAAATTTATTATAAATAATTTTTTTATCAAGAATTGATTTAATTTTATATTTTTTTTAGTTTTAGGTATAATAACTTATAATAATATTAAATAAATAAATTCTTAATAATTATTAGAATTATATAGTTTTAATAGTAAAATATGAAAAGATAAGATATATTTTTATATATAACAACAAATTTTATTTTTATATTATTACTATAGTGACATAAAATTTCTTAACTCCTTAATTTTTCTCTAGTTATGCAAAATCATATATTTCTATATTTTTTATTTATTTTATAATTATCCCTATTTTCTATATTATATATTACTATATTTATTATCATGTTTCTATTTTTAAACATTATATTTAATATTTGGGATCTATATTTTTATTATTTTATAATATGATATTTATGTATATAGTAGAATAGTTTAGTGAAAGATCATTTTTAATTTTGATAGAATAGTTACACTTGGATGATAATCTCAAATATCTTTTCTTATTCTTTGACATTCTTCAATATTTTCTTATATTCTTTTATATCTTTTCATGTCTTTTAACATCTTTCCATATTTTCTCATAATTTTTCACATCTTTCAATATTCTCTGATATTCTTCAATATTCTTTGATATCTTTTAACATACTTTGATGTAACCTATTTATAATTATTTATATTATAATACTTTTAAGATATATCATGTATATTAGATAGTATTAGCTAGTAATATTATAATAATTTTTGTATCTGAAAAATA